ACCCACATTCTTTGCCTTGAGATGATATGCTAATGGACATACAAATTCTTTCACAGAAGTTTAATAATATTTCAATTACCATTACAAATGATGCCTAACAACCACTCTGGGGCCTTTCTCACATAAACCTCGAAGGAATTCAAGTATGATTTTGTAGCTGCCTCATGTTTTACATTTTGCAGTGACCCCCAACGGTCCAGTTGCTTCTTCAAGGCAGTCATCAGTATACACATCCATCATTTTGGTGTAAATTTAACAAATTATGTGTTTAGCCGTCTAAAAGTATTACTCCTGAATTGTAAGCAGTGGAAACTAATATGACATTTTTGTGCTATTATCTGTAACTTCTTCTGCCAGGGCGACAACTACTGTAGCCCAGAATAAAAAAATTGCTATATACAGCACAAATTCTGAGATCTAAAATTGTTGGAACTTCAATGAATCCAAATTTTGCCAGTTTCCAGATTTTTGATCATCAGTTTAAATCTGGTAAGACGACATGCAGAAATTATAAAATAAAAAATCTATAATATTCTTTATTAATATTTCATTAAGAAAGAGTTATTTTGTGGAAAAAAAAAAAAAAAAAAGATTTTTCTGAATCACTATCACATGAAATTAAGATGTGATTAGAAGCAGAAATGACAGTATTTTCTGGATTTAAAACCATATTAATTTAATTGATGATTCAATCATTATTATCATTGCAATGAAGGACTTCAGTTATATCATCTTCATTTAGCATTTCTTCTGATTTTCTATTATTCGGAATATTTTTCTTTTTGTTTGTGGTATCTTAAAACCTTCAGATTAATGACTGTCATCATCATCATCATCATGAAATTTAGTAGCTGAATATATATTTTGTCTAGCATTTTTTAAAATACATGCTGACACATCTTGCCGTGACCTTATAATATTCCACATAACAGATTTTATATTAAATGTTTTTAGAAGTCTTATATAGTCTTACTGCTGCCTCATTTTTTAAAAAGCTACTTGAAAACTGCTACAATGCTAGCTGAATTTCAGAGCATCTAAAATTCCAATGACTATTGGCTGATTGATGGATGTACAGTGTTGTGGAAAAACTAAAGCGAGAGGCATTATCATTTACTAAAACTGTAATTTTGATAAGATTAATAATGATAGACAAAGTAAAATAATAAACTGCTTCAAATCGGAAAATTACAGAAGCTTGAACTTGCTATGTTAATTGAACTTAAGTTCTTCGGAATCTAATTTTTTCTCCATTTCTTATGGTTATGCAAAAAAAAAAAAAAAAAAAAACGTATGAGCAATATTCCACTCTAAATAAATATGTCTGAGGCTTTTTTTATTGTTTAGCACAGGTTGAAAAATGCTGCCTTTCTCAGCAACAAGTACTCAAGGGCCAAAAGTGTGTTTCTTACTAACATCAGCTGATGTATTCATTGGCCATGGTGTAATTCCCTAGCCACCAGCTATTTGAAAGTGGCATATGAATTTGAGTTAATCGGGAGAAAAACTTTTACATCATACTTTTTTTTCTTGAATATTATATTCTTTTTATTGACTGTAAAGTGGGGGGGGGAGTTTGGCTGGTGGTTCAGAGGTTATTACACTATTAGGCATCCAGATTTCGGATTTTGTACTGCATTACTTTTGGTCCTGCCTCGTAGTTCCAGTAAGAAGTCTTCTTGTCTCTTAAACAGTCCTTTGTCATTTTGCATAATTAACTAACAAGCCACTTTTTTTTTTTTTTTTTTTTTTTTTTTTTTTTTTTTTTTTTAAGCAGCACCAGAGATACTATTAATCTCAAAACTCACTTTTTGTCTGATTCATTTTTCAGATTGTTGCTACTAGATATTATTGCCATATATTGTTTTTAACCAAAATTAAATAATGAATAATCTATGTATATATGTTACTCGCACTGAGGAAAGACTATGATACCTTGACCTATCAACATTTTAATGCATGTAGTCCTTCCTTTACTTGAACATGTGTACCTCAAAGCCTGAATTTGGAATTTTTTATTTAGTTTATATTTTATACAAATATTTAATGAATTTATGATTAGCAAAATCAGCAATTTGAAAGTGAGAAGTGGCAACGTTGTTTGAAGAAAAGGTTTTTATATCCAATGCACCAGACTGTTGCCATTCTGAAATCTTTTATTTTAAATCAACAAACATTTATCTTTCATTTTTAATCAACAAACTTGACTATTAAGCAATGTGTTGCCACTGCCAAAAGTAAAATACTTTTATTTTCCATGCACTAGCATGTTGCTATTCACTAAAACTTAAGATATCTAACTTTCAGGTTTAATCCAGAAGGTTACTGAGTAACAAATTAAGTGATTTAAAAGCAATAAACGTAGTTCTTAAGAAAATTTTTTCGCTTTTGAATATGATCGATGTAAATAAAAATACATTAAAACTGTGAGATATCTGATCAGAAATATTTTAATGAAATTACTCTAACTGGAATCATTAAAACCATTATATATTTTTTCTTTTTTATGGTAAATATGTTAGACAGTTGACTGTATCAGCGGCTACTTCTTAAAGAAATAATATATAGTGAATGTAAAAAAAAAGGTGTATGGCAACCCCGAACTTTCTATCAGGAATTCTAAATATATGCTGAATTAATATCTTTTTGGTTTTGCTTTTGTATTTTAAGTGCTGTAATTGTGAAGAATGCGATATTTAATTTTTTAAAAAGTTCATAATAAATAACAAAATAAAGTTTATTAGGTATCTTATTAAGAAAACTGAACATTGATATGATAAACTGAGAAACGACTGAAAAATAAATATAGGAAATTATGCCAAAAATTCGAAACAAAAACAAAAATTTTTGTTAGCAAAAACGTAAAGTTTCTAACCAAAAATATTTGACAAAAATCCATGTACTTAAAAAAAATCAGAGAATCACACAATCTATGCAGCGTAGTAATCTAGGAATTACACACATCTCGCTAAAATAAACTAACATAACGACAATAAATTTCAAACAATACCATGTACACAGCATTCTGTTTTAATTAAAAAAAACATCAGTGAATTGCATAATCTAGGCATCATGCACAGCCTTGGCATTGCACACAAATCAACAAAATAAACTAAATTCCAAACAATTAAAAAAACAACAACAACAACAGAAATTCAAAGCAAAAAAACAATGAACATAACATTCTATAAAATAAAAACAATAAAATAAAATGCACTTACCATTGTGAATGCTTCTTCAAGCAGCAGAAATATCAATTTCAAACATCAGCAAAGCTCATCAATTTCTACCACTTTATCCTTCTCCCCTCTTTCCTGAGACACAGAGTATACAAAGTCCAGCATTCCAAAAATACACTTTGATCCACATAAACACACTAACAACTCCAGCATCATACCTTTTAATACTAAATTTACTTTGCACTCAGTCCAAAATATGAGACTGAAATTTTGCTTTCATTGCAACATAAGCCATTTCAAAACGCCCACCAAACCAAGCAACCAGCAAATAAAATCACTCCAGCAAAATCATGTTTCAATGTCAAAAGGGTTGCCATACAAACAACATTGCGCCAAAAAACCATCACAGAACACATATGGCGCCACATTTGGAGACACCATACATCTGAGGACGTATATAAGAGTAATGCCAGAATTTTAAACGTATGCTGCTAAGCTGCTGTTAAAAATTGTTGGTACTATTACATTTTGAGGACCGTAAAAAAACTGCAGCGAAAATGTATGCGCATAAGCGGCAAATCTATCAAACGGGCCCATTTAACTCTTTGAAATCCAGACCCTTCGCTAACTTATGTCCTCAAAATACCGAAACGTCCGAAATAGTTTTCCAGTTTCACAGCAATTTCCTCCTCTCCCCGTCCATTAACGCAGAAAATAGGTGTGAAGATTTCCAGTGACATCCTTTGTACTTTCCAACAAAGATTTCATTAGCCTTTGACCCCGTTCTTTATAAAACTATTCTGAAGGTCAGACCAACAAGCTTTTCTGCCTTTGTTATGATCACCACTGAGATATTGTTTATTTCCGTTATAGGAAGGAATGACTTGTTTAAAAATAAATATAATCCTTAAATTTTTAAACTTCTTTTATTGCTGTTTAAAGCTTAAAAGCACACTATACCACAAAAGAATAATAACGAAATATCACGATCAACCAAAAGATAAGAATTTTTTAGGACAAGCTGTCTGCAGTAAACTGATACAATGCATTTGGGGAAACTGCACCTGTTACCGCATATCTTAGGGGGAAGGAAGAAAACAAGGTTACAATCTTGGCCGTTTTCGGGTGGTTCTGGTTGTTTCAATGTAGGGCCGTGTGGGGCGGATTGGATGTGAAGGAGTTAACAGCGCCAAAGCTAGCATACGTGCTGATTACAGATTGGGTATATTTATATAGTTCTATATTTCTTAAGAGGCCATTGAAGTACTAGTTTAATTTTTAAATCCTTTTCTGATTTTAAGTCCTTTTTTGATATCCTACGGATTTAACAATTTGGGAATTGCCTATGATGAAATGTCTGCAATAGAATTTTGAGTAAAGTGCAGAATCACCCACTGCTTGACGCATTTTTTAAGAATTGCACATACTCGGTATCCATGTACACATCGACCTATTTTCAGATTTAAAAAAAATCCCAGAATTGCACAAAAATGGCACTGCGCACACCCTTGACTTTATCTATGTATACATCGACCTATTTTCACTTAAAAAGTAAAAGAAAATTGACAAAAATCCAATTGTTTTTGCCCTTGTAAAAAGCGGCAAACAAATAAGTGGGTGATTCTGCACTTTACTGAGAATTTTTTCAAAGAAAAGGCATCATTCATTATAGAAAATTATATTTGAACAACCAATGAGATGAAATTATGCTTTAAGCGGTAACTCGGTTTAGCGGTAATATCTTTAACATTTGTTCTTTCACATGTTCTTTTTGTTATGCACATTTTCCTGTTTTATTTACCATAATCTTTTTACTTTTAGCAAAATGACAAGCATAACACAATGTGACATAATCAGCACTCTACAAAGTTTGAACATGATAAAATATTGGAGAGGTCGGCATGTAATATGTGTTACTGCCAAAATGGTTGAAGAAATGCTTCAGTGCTTTAACTGTAGGAGACCAAAAATTACTGTTGATGTCAGCCTTCTAAAATGGACACCTCCTAAGAAACAGTCAAACTTCTGAAGTTAAATATGAAAATTTATGTATTTTTCTACTTCTCATTACATCATTGTAATGGTTGTAGGTTTATATTACCAAAACCAACTTTAGAAATTGTAATTGTTTCTTAATTTGTCAAATACTTTTTCCCTTACAGCACCAATATTTCAATGTAATTGCACTGTTATGTTGAGTTCATACTTTCTTGAAATATTAATTTCAGAAGTATAACATCACTTGTAATGCTTGTTTATACATTTATGCAAGAGTTCCAGAAATGCAGATTTAACTTTTTTCCCCCCTCATTTTCATCAAGTTTTCATTGTCTTATATCATTTTCTTTTTCATCATCATTGCATTGTCATCTCTTTGGTGTTTTCTATTAATCTAAAAATATTTTATATTGAAAGTACACTTCTCTATGTTATATTGCATTCAGTTTAAAATCTCAGATCTAAGTCAACTGAAATTTTAAATGCAAACTCAATTTCTTGTAGTATCTATACAGAGATATGGATGATACCAATGCATATATGTTAAGTACTATGTTTAAAATTATTTGAATCCCTAAGAAAAGAAACAGTGATTTGGAAATTTTATGAATACGGAAAAGCTTAATATTTATTTGTTTACTTTATTAAACATTTCTTTCAATGTAAGTTTTTTAAGTTGCTTCATTTTTTTGTGCTAATACTTTCTCTTTAATTCTGTAGGCAGACATAAGTTCTAGTTTAGTTACATTGTTGAAGTCCTATAATTGTTGTGTGGAAATTCCGGCTTACTTTTCAATCGAAATTTTTTCGTTTTCTGTAACCTCTCTGTCACTTTCTTCACTATCGGTAGCAGTATTTTCTGGATCTAGAAACATACTACAGATTTTGCCATCCATTAATTGACTGATGATTGAGGAACATTGTCATCATAATGAAAAACTTCTTTTATATCATATTCATGTTATTACCGCTTCTCCACATTTCTTTAAACTGGAAAATTTCATCTTCGGTTTGCGATATCCGAAAAATCTTTAAAATTTGCAGCTATCATCATGAGAATGGCAACTAAAGACAAGTTGTTTCACTAAATTTTATCTTGCTTTTATCGTGCACTGAGACAATTAAGCTTGAGCTGTATTAGTTATTTATTATACTTATGTCTATTTCTTGCACATGCTTAAGGCTGAGTCCTGAGTAAATAAATTCCCACATATACTTAAAGCTTATTGAGGGCCAGTGCTAGATATCTTACTGCCTGATGCAATATCTGTGGGTCCTAAATACTGCTACCAAGCGCCTTCCCTAAATTCTGCTGCCTGATGTGGCCATACAAGCCCTTGCTCTGGTTCTGGGTTTATGTGAATAACAAACCAGTTATTCATAATTCAAATAGCACTAAACTATGAGTATCATTTAGACTATCTGTTTTTAGCATATGGAAAGAAATATTTTGTTAAATTTTTCCTTGTCAACATAAAAGGTTACTATACTCTTTAAAGTACTAACATAATAAATTGTTTAGGCATCGCTACATGAGTCATTACTCAGGTTGTCATATGTTGATAAACATGCAGTGATGAAACCAAATTATAATAAACAATGATTCGCCAGGTTGGGGTCAGGGATATAAAATATTAATAGATGTAAAATCAACGATGTTAGCTCTGTAGAATGTTTCAGTTTGAGATGTATGCCAAACAGATACGCAGCAACAGAGCCAAATTATTGATCATCCAATTTAATGCTAAAAGGATTGTTTCTTCAATTACGAGGTATTTTATTTTGTGCCGAAAAGAAATTAAGAAACAGGACTCTCCACACGTTTTTTTATGAGCAGGGGGGTAATCAAATGGGCATGCGTAAAGCATACAAAAAAAAAATTGTTTTAGGCTTTGAGGTCCAAATTTTAGATCATTCCAGATCTCGAACTGTGTATTGTACTTGCAAATTGTACATCTAATATGAAATTGCCTGCTTAAACTATTTTAATTTATGAGAGAAATGAAAGTTTGTCATCTTTCTATTTAACGGAAAGAAAGTAATGATTTAAAATAATTTTAAAAATCATAAACCTAATATTTTTTTCTAAAACATACTGTTTATATTTTTTTAATGTTATAAAGTTATGCAACACGCAGAAAAAAAGTAATAATAGTGCAAATTAACTATCATAATTGTAACATGAACTAAAAATTCTTTAAAATCGATTCTGTTTTAAATTTGTGTGGATCCTTAAATTTATGTGAATATCTGGCTCTTTGAGTTTGGATTGTATGTTTTGCTAACTGTGTTTCTGTACCGTGATTAAAAGCATGATTTAATTTTTATTGATGCAGTTTTCTCTTCATCAGTGATAATGTAATTACTTTAGCCACATGATTATTGGCTGTAGTCATATATACAGTCAAAAGTCGTTAATTCGGACACCCATAATTCGGAATGATCTATAATCCGGACCTCAAAACTAAAAACTTTCTGTGCATGCGCCGCGTTGACACATGCGCATAGGCATTTACGCGTGCGCGTAAGACCTTTTACGTCTGCACATATGAGTGTGCGCAAGTGCAGAATACGTTTTCGCGTGCGCGTTTTATGTATAACGGACGGTATAAGCTAAAATTATCTAATTATCTATTTCAGTTAATGTTGATGCTTCCGTTGTTCCTTAATTTTCGAATTGGATCCGGGTTATTATTTTTTGCAGACTGTAAGAGCAATTTTATAAAAGTAAGCTTAAACTTTCGATTATATCAAATAGAATTTCCGATATATATTTGTTAATATGTAAAGGATCTAAAGCGAACGTATGTTTTTAAATCCGAAATCTGTTTTATCAATTTCACGCTGCTCGGCGGGGGGAACGCCTCGCGGCGCGTAATGAACTGGAAGTTGATCTGTCAGCACTATCCTTATCTTCAGCGCAGATGTTTTTTTATTTATTTGGCTTATAATTCCTTACCAAATGTAGTATTTCATCTCGATATGCTCCGTCTTTGATATAATTTAAAACAAGTTCCTCGTCATTATAATTCGCTTCCGATAGCGAAGAAAAGTGACAGAGGTTATTGAAAACAAAAAAATTTCGATTGACAAATTAGTCGGTGTTCTTGACACAGCAATTATAGGACTTGAACGGCGGAACTTTGTAACTGAACAAGAAATTATGTCTGTTTAATAGAATTAAAGAGAAAGTTTTATCACATGAAACGAAGCAAAACTTAAACAACTTACATTGAAAGAAATGTTTAATAAAGTAAACAAATAAATATTAAGCTTTTTCTTTTTGCAAATTTTGATACCCTTTAGATCATAATTGTTCTTTATTTCATAAATTACGGTTTCATATTTTTAATTTTAGAATTTCTGCATGCCATCTTACGAGATTTAAACTGATGATCTATAATCCGGAATCGCCGAAGTCCCGACGAGTCCGGATTAACGACTTTTGACTGTATATGTATATAATATTTCTGCATTCTTTGAATGAATAATCTAAATTTTATATTTTCAGAATTAAGCTTCAAATAAATTTTAAAAATAAAAAATGCTGTTACATTTTTGAACAAAAATTCATCAGTTTTTCTTTTAGCATTTTCTAATTATAAAATTCATAGTAATACCATTTCATTCTGAAAAATGTTTTTAATCTCTATAATTATATGCCGTTCTATGTGTAAATATTATGCCTGTGCAAATGTGACTTGACTGAACCTTTTATGGACTGCTAAAAGGAGTAATTAAAAGAATCTATCTGTAAGCTTTAATATTGATCATATATTCATCGTTATTGCATTTATTTTATGTGATTGAAATTCAAGATTAAGTTTTTTATTCTCTTTATGCTTTTGTTTTCATATAACTGGAAAAGAAAAAATACAGAAATAAAAAAATATGACTGAAAATAAAGTATATCAAATGAAATTTAAAATGACATAAATAAAATACGTATATCACTCTATTATATTAAATAAAATGTTATCTTTTAAATAATCATAAGAAAAATTACACATATAAAGAGACACAAACTCTAGAAGCATATTCTACTCATCGTTATTAGGAATACTAATGCAATCACATCACACAGCTTGGCATTGTTAAGCCCCCCACCAAAAATGTAAGATTTTATGCTTTTCATGTAGTACTTAAAATATTTACATTTTGAAAATTTTAATAATTTCATATTTTATAAATTAAAACTTTTTTTAAATAAAGAAGAAAAGTATGGAACATCAATGGATCATCTTGGGATTTATTTAATTCTTCTTAAAATAAGCAAATGCTTAATATTAAAAATTAAAAGACTTTTAGTTTTAGAGCTGTTGCTTTTAGAAGTAAAAACCCAGTAAAATTTACAGTATTTTAATTTTTATTCCCCTTTTTATAAAAAGAATGAAAAACAAATAATTTCATATAATTGCAAAACTATCATAGAACTGTTAAAACAAGTTGCTTTTTCTTAGGAATAGTGTAAGTAAAATATTCATTGTAATTTTGGAACAAATAGTTTCATTAAGATACAATAACACACCGAACAAATATTAATTTAAAAGTCAAACAACAAAAATCAGCGATATGTTCTCAAATTTTCACAGGACTAGTTTCGATAGAGGAATATAACGCTGATTTTTATTGTATGACTTCTGAATTAAATAGTTTCATGTAAATTTCCACATTTTTTTTTATTTTCTTATTTAAAGGCATTAATGAGATTCTAAACCTGTTTCAATAAGTATATGGTCTAAAAAATAACAAAACTAAGTAAGTCCAAATTATGTATTTCTGTATAAGCTAAAATGTGTCTACTTCCTCATGTATACGTTCATTATCCCATTCCCTCCCTTTCCCTTCTTGCCCTCCTAAAAAAGTGTAAATGAGGAACATTTCAATTGAGTTGATATAATTTTCGGTTTCCATTCTAACATTTTTAATGCTGATAACAAATGAGCATAAAGTGCTACAAGGAATCCTCTATTTTTCAATATGATGCACATTTCCATAACCCTTCCCCAAACATTCATGAATATGTTCTTACCCAAATTCATGAACTTGAAACCACACTTTGTAAAACATTGTGGTGGAAAATCAGGCTGATTTATTATGCTTTCTTCTTTTTGTTATGTTCTCCATGTTAAATAATTGTATCGGCTGTTTTACTTTTTAGGTATATTGTTTACTCTGTATTTTAACAAATTCATGAGAAAAGTATCTTGGGCATTCTTATAAAACAACCAGAATTGAGAATAGAGGTTTGAATTATTTGATTTAATGATTTTTGAGAACTCATGCCCTTCCTTACAGTGTGATAAATTACATTCTACAAATCAGTGGTATCAAACTAGCAACACATAAATACATTTCAAATATGGTGTTACAAATATTTCAATTACTTGAAATCTGAGTTTACATCATTTTCATTACCATTAAAAACAGCTCTGAACAATGAACTAAAATATCTATAAATTGGGATAATTAATTTACAATGAATTATTCGATGATTTGATGATACAGTTTTGGGTAACTTTTATTCATACTTTTCCCCAAATAATAATAATGCTCAGTTACAAACCTTTGTGCTATGAATACGTGCCTTGTTTGTGGATACATTTATATGTCAACAGCCAGCTTTTTTTTTTTTTTTCATTTGAAAATTAATAAGAAAAGAACTCGGTTGACCATTGAGCATATACCATCCGTAATGGAATAATTTTGAGTAATTTTTCTCCAGTGCATGGACATTATACAAACAAATTTTGTATTCATACACAAAATTTATAATTATTTACATACTGAAAAAAAAATTTAATAAATTAGAGAAAGAAACTAGTTTGTCACCATTTGTTGTAAATTGTGTCTAACTTGGAAAGTTTTCATAATTTATTTATTTTTAGCTTAAATTAAAGCCATTTTATATGAGTA